AGAGAGAGAGAGAGAGAGAGAGAGAGAGAGAGAGAGAGAGAGAGAGAGAGAGAGAGAGAGAGAGAGAGAGAGAGGACGAATGAGTTAATAAAACAACCCATGCAACTCCACGAATGAGTTGAAAACCACCCAAAGCAACTCCACTGCCCGCAATTTCTGGTATCCCAAACCATAGTCGTTTCATTGGAGAATCCGCGCAGCTAGGCACATATGTATGATGTACAGATGCATATACAAACATCAGATGCATTTACAAACACATCTGAGCATGCCCAAGATCTTTCCATCCTGCCTTTGCCAGTCCTCGAGTCCTACCGGCAAGTAAGAGAACCTTCACTGTTCCAGAAGAGAACTTCACTCACTGTTACAGAAGAGAACCTTCACAGGTCCACTTACTACTACTTTTTTTTCTTTTTTTTTTTTTTGGACCATTTCAGACATTTCTCGATTTATGTGTGTCATCCTTGCGCAGGGGCCATGCTAATCTTCTCTGTATTGTTCCGATTTTAACGGATGGTTATTCACTCATTGAGCACAGTGGGAAAACTTTATCTAGGAACGGTCAGGTAAAGGTGCGCTTCTGTAGCAGTGAAGATGCTCTTCTGTACACAGATGAATGCACAAATGATATTCGAGCGTGGTTGGCATGGCTGGCAGCTCAGCTGATGTATTCGTTCTCAGGGCGTTTTCACACTACGACTTGCCTGCATGTACAGGACCTCCCTTACAGCCAGAGTCAGTCCCAAAAGGCATAGTGTGAGGATGGCCTCACTTAGCCCTGATCACACATTTGAAAAAGTATCACACAGGATAGATACACAATTACCTGTGAATGCAATGGTGGCATTACTTGTACCGTCTTCACCCGAATAGCACGCCCGGTCATTATAGCTGTATGTGGACTGAAAAGTGCACTGAATATGGCTCTAATGACGGGCGGTCCTATTCGGGTGAAGACAGTAGCAGGCTTTGTGCTATGCCATGTGCTATGACATGTGGCATGATGTGCTATACTGTGTGCTACAGCCAGAATCACTTCACCACTCACTATCCAGTGTACTTGCTCTTGGTCGGCCCAAATCCAAAACACTTGAAAACAGCGGCATGCACAGAATCCCTCGTCGTCACATGAGAAGTTGGATTCAAAACACTTCCCCATCGAACGCAAACATGTCCTTATCGTCAAAAGCTCAATTGGTGAAAATCCAGCCACCGCCTCCAGCAAACAGCAAGGCTCAGCTTCCATCTCTAGGATAGCACTGCGGAATCTCGGAGATGCCGGAGAGGCCATGCTTTTTTTTGCAAAACCAATGCTACTCCCTCAACCTTTGAATCTGGACCTTGTCAATTGGCACACAGCATCCTATAATTCCTATTCCGAGTCCCTTTCACGCATGACCTTCAATACGTCAGCAACTGCCTTGTCTGGCCCAAAAATCCAAAACAGATACTTTGGGTTGTTGTCCACAGCTATGGACAAGAGAGCTTGCAGACAGCACCGCGGATCATGCCTCCATGTGCTATGTCGCGTGCTATGCCATGTGCTATCTGTGTGCTATCTGTGTGCTATGCTGTGCGCTATCCATGTGCTATACTGTATGCTATATGCCGTGTGGTACGCCGTGTGCTATGGAGTCCTGGAGTCCTTTCGCTGACAAAGTTCACATGGATGCTGATACGGTCCATTGACAAATCACAAGAGTAAATTGATGGACTCGGTCCTTTTCCTTTCGCTAGTCTTTTTTTTTTCCTTTCCCTAGCAGCACTGAGAAGAGAAAATTGATGGACTTAGTCATTTTCCTTTCGCTAGTCTTTTTTTACCCTTTCCCTAGCAGCACTGAGAAGAGTAAATTGATGGACTTAGTCATTTTCCTTTCACTAACAGAGTTTCCGAGTCTTCTTCCGGCGGATGCCAACATCGACAGTTAACCAGAGTAAATTGATGGACTTGAACCACCAGTACACGCCATACATCGGGCGCGGGCCCCTTTTGGACGCGAAAATGAGACGCCGGCTGCGAATGCTTTTTATCGACGGCGCGCCGGCCCTCGAACTTTCCGGACCAGGCGACGAGTTCCTTTAGCAAGGCTGGGGCCATGTACTGGCGGTTTAAGTCTTTTTCTGGTTCATCTTTCCCCTTTCCTGATTGTTCATCTTTTCCCCTTTTCTGGTTCACGACTTCATATATTCAGTGCGTGGCAAAGCCTGCCGACCCCCAAGAAGCCCAATTTCATTTTCTCCCCGGGTTCGCGAGATGATGTGTGTTTCGAAAACACGTTGCCGCGATTTCATAATCAAGACCTGACTTACGCAACCTTGTTGACCCTGCAGACGACCTCCCTCCTTGCGACTACTGCTGAGTCGTCATCGTCTCTTCAGCGAAACTGGGCCCATTCACGTTCACATGAATGGCGGAGCTTGACTGCCCGTCCTGCTTATGCTCCAGGTCTTCCCCAATAGTGTTCCTCTTAGGGGGTGTCAACGTCGTCCCCATGGGGGGTGTCAACGTCGTCCCCATGGGGGTTGTCAACATCATCCCCATGGGGGGTGTCAACATCGTCCCCAGGGGGGGTGTCAACATCGTCCCCATGGGGGGTGTCAACATCATCTCCATGGGGGGTGCCAACATCGTCCCCATGGGGGGCAAACTCGTCGGGTTCACACTGCTGCAGCTGCTCTGCAACCCCAGAGGCCCCGTTGACGTCAACAGGATTCCAGTTGCTCTTTCTTCGGGCCTCGGTCGTGCCTCTGTCATCAGTCCCAGATGTGCCGTCCTGCGGCTGTGCTGTCTCTGGGCTGGTAGTGGCAGTGACAGTGCTGCCGACGACAGTTCGATTGATGTTTTTTCGTTCTGGATTGTACACACTGTATTCTCCAAACTCCCGCCGACCACTGACCGAGGAAACACGTACACCCCACAACCACGCCCCCCCCAAACCCCCTTCCCACCCCCCCAAGCATCCAGTGCCACCATACATCAACACAGGGCAGCCAGCAGCACATGCAACAAAGCAACAAAGCAACAAAGCAACGTCAGATTTACGGGAGATTGTTGAATGTAAGGTCCTTTTTTTTTGGGGTGGTGGTGGGAAGCGAGGAATTTCGAAGCTAAGGTCTTTCTCTCTGCTCTGTATTCAGGATTCAATTTGTTTTCCTTAGAAATTTCCTATGGTTAGATGAACTTGGTTGGCTTTTCGACAGCAATAGGTATTGGTAATTACTGGTCGTGCAATCTGTGCCACTCATCCAGATTCCCCTTCTTTTTTTTTTTTTTTTTTTTTCGTAACCAGGTCCTTATGGTCCTGGTTCCTCGTTCATTCTGGGGAGCGTCAGTTCGGTTTCTATTCCCTCGGCAAGTCAAAATTGAGATACATAATGTACCTGTGTTACTACCTGGGCGGCCCGGGATGCCTCAGATTGGCCCAGGTGGCCCTGCCGGGCCAGGTCCAGGCAAAGTCCCGGTCAACGTCCTGGCCAGTCCCAGAGTAACAAAAAAAAAAAACTGAAAAAAAAAAAAAATCATGTCATGCCTAGGCTACCAGCCGGGCTGCCCGGGTCACCCTATTTTCCCAGGCGGCCGGGCCGTGCAAGGACCAGGGAAGGTCCCAGCCAAAAAAACAAACAAAAAAAAAAATCCGAAAAAAAACTATGTTATGCAAAACATTAAACTGAACAACTTTTGCCTCAGGGTCACATCGAAATTCTTTACCAAATTTACATTAAAAATCTATTTTTTGTTTTTTTATTTTTTTATTCCTTCTTGGCACGGCGGGGCAAGTGGACCTGGGCCACTCTGGTAGCCTAGTGTCATGCAGAATTGCAAACCAAACATCTTTTGCCTGTGGGTGACCACAAAATCCGCTATGGAATCCGAAAATTAAAACAAAAATAAAATACTAAGTTATATCATACTCCCTTAGCCCCCTCTAAACCACCAGTACTTCCGAAAGTCGTGGTGGCATGCGCGCCACGATGTGCTCGGATGAATGGGCCTGGGGCACTGGCACAAATTCCTTCCGGTGGAAACGGCGCGGCACTGTAGCAATGGAGGGGTCCATGCACACCGCGACCTCCGGAAAGTACCGGTGGTTTAAGCCCCTTCGAGGCCTTCTGAACCCCCCCTAATACCCCATAGACGCCCTTTGGTGAGATATCACCAAACTCAAAGATAAGGCCGGATTCGGGCAGGTCTCAGTGGGCGCAAAACTGTGCCCAACTGCCCGAAAAAAAAAAAAAAAAAAAAAAAAAAGAAGACCTTTTTAGTGTCGCCAGGGTACCCCGTGCAAGTTTGTCCAGGTCTCCGCCCGGCGGCCCGGGCCCTGCAACTCTGGTAAAATAGGAATGTACACACTCACGCTTCCTTCCGTAGGGTCCGAAGGATCCCTAACCAGCACTGATTGCTCCCTTGTAGGCGGATTGATTGTCAGCTTGCCCTCCCCAACTAACTCCTCTCAGGCACCACGCCGGGGCCTGTCAAATGGAGAACTGCTTAACAAGAATCGTGGGAAGTTCGGCTTACTTTCCATGATTGTCTGGGTTTCAGGGAAAATGTCTTCCATACTGCCCCCTCTTCACAAGCTTCCCGCAACAGCCAGTCTCTCAGAAATGCTTCTCTTGATCGCATACTTTTCTGGTCTGTGCTTCGATGCTGAGGTTATCTTTCGCCATCTGCTCCGGATTTCGGTTTAGACCATGCTCGGGAGTGGGGACCACATTTCCTCCCTTGCCACCATCTCCGTTCCCTCGATTATCCGTATCCATCTGCGCTTCCATATGACCCAGAGTGCCAACTTCCTGGGTAGTTTGAACCAGATTTACTTGCTGCCTTTAAGATTCCTGGAAGTGTCAGTGAGAAGTAACGATCATAAACGGGGTAGCATTGGGAGGTGGTGAGGAGAAGAGGGTAGACCATGGCTCCAGGACCTTGTCCCAGATGCAGGCCGCTTCAGGACGCAAGAGGAGGCAGTGAGAGATATCTTCAGGTGTGCTGGTGTCGTTCGGAACACAGAGCTCTGAGCTATTTGGGTCTGAGTGTTTCCTCCTTTTGTGGAGCCACTGGTTGACGGGTAGACCTGCATGTGCTATGAGCCACTGCATACTTTGGATTCTTATGGGTCTGATGAGGAGGTGATTAGTCCAGGGTATGGTGTAGGAGGTTGTGGAGTCGATACTCAGGATATTTCTCCATTTGAACCATTTCTCTATAGCCCCGGGTTGGGACCTGTAGTCTGCAAACCGAGGTCGTAGCCGAATTTTACGTCGTATTTCGAAGATCGTTCTTGTTCTCCCCGTTTTGCTCTGTTTCCATTACCATTCCTTTGGGTCAAATTCCAATTCTTCTCTGCTGAGTTCAAGCTAAAAGATTATCCATGGTTCGGTCTGTGATACTCTAACGAATCTAACCTTCCTGAGGAGGAAGGTCTCTAGGAGCTCGGTTCGGGGATCTGTGTTGTGTATCTCCAGTTCCTGAAGACTATATTTCGAGAATTTTGATTGGTAGTTGGAAGCCTCCCTCTGATCGCGTGACAAATCGGTAGGCTCTCAAGGGTGGTGGGGTCTGAGAGATGAGTAGGCCCCAATCGCCCGGTTTCCAGGATAATTTTTCTCTTAGGAGGGCTGTCCATTGTGGTGGAGTACTCCAATGTATCAAGGCTAGGTTGAATTTGAGAGAGTGACACCTCTTCAGGGGAATGCGGAGCTCTTGTTCTGTCAAACATCCACCTCGTTCCTCCCACCACAGATGTTTGATCTGCCAAACTCCTATCCCTACCCAGGAGAGCCATCTCCGATCCTTGGCGCGGAGAGTCCAATGGTTGCCTTCTGTCTCTGTCAGCCATGGATTGCAGAAGAGAGGCTGTCTGAGGACTTCCTCTTCGCTGTCTCTCTCTCTCTCTCTCTCTCTCTCTCTCTCTCTCTCTCTCTCTCTCTCTCTCTCTCTCTCTCAACTCTCTCCTCTCCACATATCGCCTGTCAGAATTGGTCACATGGAATTGGCTCTTGATGAAACAGGATGAGGCGAGACGAAGGGACAGAGACCAATGGTTCATAGATAGCTATGCGGAGTTGACTCAGACTGTTTCAGCCGAATCAAGAGGTATAGCAGGCGAACGAAAAATCAGAAAAAGGAGGAACTTCAAATTGCCATAACAACTGCTGAGACTAATCTCGCAACAGACCCTACGAACAACTTCTACTTCGACCTACTCAACTCTTCTAGAGAGGAGAAGATGGGAACTAAGAGGCCTACAACTGCGAGCCAGGATGACGGAATACACACTCAATGAATCCAGGACCAAGTTCTTCGTCTCCAAAATCAACGCCGACGCGAGGACTAACATGATCGAGAAATTGAAAGATCCATCAAATCAAGGAATGGTCAAATCAGCCGGCACAGACATGGTAAGCATAGCCAGATCCTTCTACGCAGACCTCTATGAGCCTAAAACACCCTCCCCTCCCCCCACAGCAAGCATAGAAGCCCATCAACGCATGTCGTCCTACCAGGACAGGACGATCACGCTGGAACAAGCGGAGGGCCTTGACAAGCCATTCACCTTAAGTGAACTTCAAAAGTTCAAATGGCGTTAACCCAGATGGGGAATGAGAAGGCTCCAGGCATTGATGGCCTATCCAAAGAATTTTGGGTCCATTTTTGGCCAACACTTGGGGGGAACCTTCTCAACCTCTTCAGCGACAGCAAGGTGAAGGGAGGCCTAGGCCAACTCCTAAGCACAAGCGTGGTTTCACTAATCCACAAGAAAGGGGACAGAGAATACAGAGTCCAGACCCATCTCACTACTCACAACCCCATACACAAGCACTGGCGAAAGCACTGGCAAACAGGATCATAAACCTCACTGATAAATGCTTTCACATTGACCAAGCTGGTTTCATTTCAGGGCGGTACATCCTCGACAACGTGATGACCCTGAACGAGGCAGCGAAGAAGATTGCAGAAAAAGCGCATGAAGGCGGCAATTCTCTTTTTCGATTTTGAAAAAGCCTATGATCAGGCCAATTAGGACTTTCTCCACGATTGCATGGAGAGGACGGGAGTAGACCCCAATTTCAGGGAATGGGTCGGAATCCTTTATGGAGATGCCATCGGGAGAGTCCAAGTTAACAGAATATTATCAGACACTTACCCAATCTTGAGGTCCGTCCGCCAAGGAGACCCTCTGCTCTCCCCCCCCAATCTTCCTCTTCATTATGGAAGCCATAGCCTCTTTTCTTCGCAAAGACCTGGGTATAGATCACCTCACAGAGCAGAATTTTAACCCTTTCATGACTTCGCCCTGCCCACTGCACTGATGTTCGCAGACAATCTTACTGTTCTCATCCGAGGTAACAACTCCCCCTTCCAATTCCCCTCACCAGAGCTATGGAAGCCTTCCGACTGGCGTCAGAGATGAAGGTTAACTGGGCTAAAACCAGAGGGTGGCTAGCAGATGCCCCCCCCCCCCCCCAACCCCCGAACTGAGCTAAAACCGAAGGAGGGTGCCTA